CCTCTTCTCCTCATCTTCCCTAGAGGACATCATTTCAAGATGACTTTCTGTGGCTGTGAATTCCTCTCAGTTTTCTCCATCCTGCTCAGTCTGGGGGCAAATCCACTTATTTCCTGTGTCTCAATTGACTTGCAAAGGACAGTTATGTGTGATGGAAAATCTTAGTTTTCTTTATTTTTGTGCTTTAGTTGTACCATTAATTCCGAATGGATCCAGTGTTATTGTGTTTTTATTCATGGGAGTTGATTTGAAGCTTTGAAGCTAGATGAGAAAAGACAGTTGGTTTTCTCATCTCAGCCTGTGCTCTTTCAGAAACCAAAAACTTTAAAGTGCCCCCATTATGCCAATTTAGAGGCTCATTATTTTATTTTCGTGGTTGTATACTGCTACAGCACATCTCTTCACCCTCTGAAACACTCAGTATTAGTGGCTGCATTAGGTTTTAGTTGACTGCTTATTCCCCTTTTTTTTTTGTTTTTTTTTTTTTGTTTTTGAGGGCATGCCAAACTAGCTGCTAGGTGTGCATTATGGCACCATGTTACATAGTGATGTAAATGACAAAAAGAAAAGTCTGGACTTCAAATTAGTTTAGCAGCACTGGTTTTTGCAGGAGAGAATAACTCACTTTGATGTGGACTTTGCAAACCCTTTTTCTCATGTGCAAAAATGATTTAACAGACTACATGATAGATAAAATCCCAGAATGCATAGCAGGGGCACTTTGAATTTGCTATGACAGAAGCCTCCTCAGTGTTTGTGGATTACAGGCGTTGCCATGGATCCATTGTTACTCAGTCTTACAACACATACAGTACATAGTCGTGAGAATTGTTTGTTTGCTTTTACTTATTAATTTTTTGTGAACAAGTTATTAAAACAACATCCAAATTGACACTAACCTACCAACAAGCTCACTTCTGCCAGGTTGTGTGTTGGTTGTGAGAATGCGTGCGTAAATGTAAATATTTCTTTTAAAAAATGTTTTTAGAAATTAAATTCCAAGCATAGAATTTTATCCAGTGTCTTGTCCTGGATGTAAATATTTTCTAATTTATGTTGTAATTTAATGGGCTTGTGTAAATAATGGTATCAGTTTGGTGCATAGCTTAACTTTTTATGATGATGTGTTAAACTTTTGTAAATCAGTTAGGTGTTTTGTTGTTTTTTTTTTTTGTTTTTTTTATAAACTAGACTTTAGAAAGTGGGGATGATATACATTTTTGAAAATGTTTTTAAAAAAAAATGCTGTTTTAAAGTTTCAGGAAAAAAATAAATGACAGCCTCAAGCCTGATTTAGTGAGTCAGTAATGTTGCCTAGGCCACACACTTACTTTTTTTTTTTTCTTAATGGATAGCACTTTTGTTCTGTAGCCTCTTTTTCAGCAATATCACACAGATGATGGTTAAGTCATGTGTTGAAAAACTTTCCTATTAATAAACGGCAAAGAAAATCCCCTACTAAACTAATGAGAACAGTAGCCATCATTATGTGCTCTCACTTAGCTTCACAAATAAGCTGTGTTGCTCAGTAAAAGCACAGACCTCAAAAGTACATCATGTGATGAACAAAGAAGTGCAGCTTAGAGGACAAATGGGTTGTTAATGTTAAACTTGGACAACTATTGAATCGACTGTACTAACCGTTCAGCATTCAACGTCTATCCTCTGCAGCTTGCCAATATTTCCTTTACATATGTTTGGAGCAGGTGTGCCATTAAGCCTACTTGCAAGTTTCTTGGGGAATAATGAGATGCAGCAAAGAATTTAGTTAAGAGAAAAGGAAGTTAGGCAGAACTGTCTACTTGTTTCATCATCACTTGTCTGTTCAGGCCTTGCTAATTTCAGAGGTTCATCTGTTTGTGTTTCACGTAGGTATGAGGGGCCGTACAAACAAATTCATTCTTTCACTCTCACATACATATATTCTTCTTTCACATGCATATACTTTCACTCTCACATAGTTTTATTTTAATTTTTATATTTGGATATTTTTATTCTCATGTTTACACATATTTAAAACACACATTGCAATATTGTGCTCTTATAAGTTCTTCAGCAAGCTATCTATGGCGTTATTTTTGTGCCACTATTTTGAGTGCACGTAAAAAGAAGTTTGCAGGTGCAAGTGTTGCAGCTTGAAAGAATGAATTTTGGCTTGTACGGCCCCTCATACGTAGGAGTAACACTTATATGAATCAACATAGAACATATAGCTGAATTGAAAGGTATAACAACGGCACTGAAATGCACAAACATATATGACATCAGTGTTTCTCTTTATGTTTTATATTAGCTTTTGGGGTCAGTGGGTGAAACGAACATTTCCCAAAAACCAAGCCACAGGTTATAAAGGAAGCAGCAGCAGCAACTACCTTGCAGTTAAACAAGTATCAGCCTCTCCCCTCAGAACCTGTTTAACCAGACCTGTCAACGCAGTGGCTCGCTGCCCTCACAGCGGTTGACTTTAACTGCCTTCAGTTACTCGTGTTAGCTTGTGTGCTTGGCCCTGAAAGGGTAGATAATAGGTGGAGGAGGTATGGGTGAAATTTAGCAGAGAGAAAGAGGAAGTTTTTTTTTTTCTTCTTCTTGTGCCTTTGATGACAGGCTGAAAATGGTTGAGGAAGCACTGAGGATTTGATTGGAGGTTGACCTTGTTTCTTTATGCTGTTTCTTTGTCACATCACAAAGTTTGTTTTGGCAGATGTCAGCTGTTAAGTACACACGTCCCATTTGGTTTTTTTGGGGTTTTTTTTGGGGGGGGGTTTCCCCCCCCCAATCTTTTATTGTCAGTAGAATCAATTCGAACTGAGCACATTCACAAAGTTGGAGCTGGTCAGATGATCAGCAGAGTTGTTAAAGTGACCTGATTTTACATATAAAATGATCATGTTTTCAGTTAGACATCAGGTGAATGGCTTTGTTTAATTCCTTGTACGTGTTTTTCCAAAACACAGGCAACATCGCAACTGGTCAAACGTTTTCTTCTCAACTGTGAGACCGTGTGAGTAATTCTCTTATGACACGCCTAATGTAGCTGGGAAAAGAAGGCGAGCATAGACTTGTTGCACTTACCTGTTACCTTCACTTCTTTTTCTCTTATGAAAGAAGAGGAACTCATGTACTTTTTTTTTCTTTCAAAAAATAGATATTAGAGATTATATCTGACATGTTAATATAATCTTCAGACCTCATTAGGATGCCCGAGGCTACTTGTCAACTCCAGATTCACTGAACTGTAGCTGTATTCTATTCCAGCTCTGACTGAATGACCTTTCCATGTAGGTCAAACCAAGTCACAGGATGAAACTGTAAGAGCGGAAAAAAGGCCAAAAAGGAGACAACTTGATGTGATTTTTCCCTTTTTTTTTTTTTTTTTTAAACCTTGTTTGACAATCTTTTTGTTGGTTTTTATTACTTATTAGCCTAACAAGTTGACTGTATGCTCTTACTGTTACAATTTTTTATAGATTTCTGCCCAACTTGTTTCGAGGACACTTAGAACTTTACAATTACCCTTTTAGTTAACCGCTTCCCTTCCCTGTCTTTGAAATCTGTTGTACATTAAGGCTCATTTGCAGTCAGACTAATCGCTTGCTTGCAGCTCCCAACCACTGAAACCACTTTATGAGTTAAAACATAGCCTTAACGTTCCATGTCATAAGTGACAAGTCACACAGATGAGAGTAGTAGTGTAAATCAGAAATCTGAATTAAAACACGCCTGGCCCTGTAAACACACAACCCAGATGATCATTTTAATATTAAAAAAAGTGTCTCTCATTTGGACAAAAATAGGAACAATCCGGTCTTTACATGATTAATAGTGCCATTTTGGTGCCACTGAGGAATAAGAGTAAGGAATGAGGAGCTATATGGAGAGCGAGTTGACTAAAAGTATTAGAGATGATGCATTCTGATAAAAGTTGATGCAACATGGTCTGCATCAGTGCTGGGAAAAGCACAAGAACATACCAGGATAAAATAAAATAAATCATACTGAAGTAAGTGTACTGAATCTGATCTTAACAGCAGAGGAATTACACCTTTAATGAGTTGATGTTGTACTTTAAGGCTAGCCTCAAGTTCTGTGACATTGTTCCGTTCACTGTTGACTCCTCGTTGGAGTAGGGGGTGGGGAGTAAGTTATTTTGTGTTGGAGTCAAACTATTTTTTTATATACTGGTTATAGAAAAAAAAAATATCACAGAAATACCCATATTAATATGACTAATAGAAACTGACCTTACATATCAGTTTCTCTAGAAAGAAAAAGGCTTCTTATGTTTAGTTCAGACTGAAGATGAATTCTATTTTGTTACTGTATTATTCATTATGACACATGTGGCAACTTACCCAAACAAAATTCAGCTTTTTTCAATTTTAAAATGTTTTGCAAAGATGTGGAATAATGTGTGTGTATATGCATGTAGTTTTAGTTACTGCAGGGCTCAGTAGAATTCCCCAACAACACACAGGCAGAAGGCAGTTCTTTGTTTCCAGTCTGATAATGTTCTCACTCCTGCAATTTTACTTGTAAATGAAAACAACTGAAAAAATATATTTTGGGAAGAAAGAAAACAGATGGGGTGGGGGCGGGGATGGGGCATATAATGGATAATATATGTGTGTTAGAAAAATGCAGAAAATCAAGAAAAGACCAAAGAAAACAAACGGAGGCAAATGTGGCCTCTTAAAGTCATCTAGGCCAGCAGTTAGTACTTACTGTACATGATGCGATGGACTGGCCGTTTTAAATTGAAGAGGAAAGTGTAATTAACTGTTGGTCAATGTAAATATATTTAAAACGTAATAGTTGTAAAGCAAATGTGTCTTTGCTTTACTTTCCCGGTATGGCTGAGGAATGTTTGTGTCTACTCCCAGAGTGACTCACTGGCATTAAAGAACACCTGAGTTACAGTAAGTCTGTCAGTATTTGGCTGCTGCGACGCAGTGAACAGTTGTCAAAGACCATGGCTAATTT